AAATATGACAGTGGCCATTACCCTAAAAAAAAAAAAGTGTTGACATCATTGCTGATGTCAAATGGATCATGGCTGAAAGTAGAGAATACCAGAAAGATGTTTGTACTTTATTACTATGCAAAGGCATTCCACTGTGTAGAGCCTAATGTACTATGAATAACATTATGAAGAATGGGAATTCTAGAACACTTTATTGGACTCAGGTGAAACTTAATGAGCACATGGATCAAGAGACATTCATTCAAACATTCAAACAGAACAAAGGAATACTGTGTGGTTTAAAATCAGGACAGGTATACATCAAGACTATGTCCTGTCCCCATACTTACTAAATTTGTATGCCTGGCAAGCAATTTGAGAAGCTTCACTATAGGAAGAAGAATGTGGCATGAAGATTGTAGGAGAGCTTACTAATAACCTGAGATATGCAGATGACACAGCCTTGTTGCTGAAAGCGAGGAGAACTTGAAGCATTTGCTGGGGAAAGTTAAAAACTGAGTATGGAATGCAACTCAAGTAAACAAAGCCAAAATCCTGACAGCTGGGCTAATATATAACATCAGGATGAACGGAGAGAAGACTGAGGTTGGCAAGACTTTGTCTTGCTTGGTCCACAGGACACATTGCACTGGACACATCTGCTGCACAGGACTTCTTTAAAGTGTTGAAAAGCAAGGAGGTGATACCGAGGACTACAGTGTGCCAATGAACAAAGAAGACTGGAGAAAACGATGCATTTTAACAGAGAGGATTTAAAGTTCCATGGACTGCCAGAACAAACCTGTCTTAGAGGAAGGAGGCTCCGAAGATGAGCAGATAGAGACTTTGTCTTATCGGATTTTGGACATTAGGGCAAGAAAGACCAATCCCTGGAAAGACATTAGGCTTGGTACAAGGTCAGTGAGAAAGAGAAAGACTATTTCCAATTTTGATAGCTTTTTGTTTTTGCCATAATATCTATGTGCATCACCCCCAAAAAGTATCTAGAAGAATACAAACAAAATACCTTCCTAAAAAAGCATTGTTTTAAATAATTTGAGTTTAAAAAAACATCAATTTGTGATGGAATATTTGGCAATGGATACTAGTGATGATCATACAACTTGATCGATATAATTGATACCCCTAAGCTACACATGTAAAAAACGCTGAATTTGCAAATGCGATGCACATAGATAGCATGGCAAAAACAAAAAGCTATCAAAATTGGAAACAGAGACTAATTTGGATAGGGACAAATATCAGGAACTTCCACTTGCTGATGACTTGAACCCCAAACAAAGTCTCAGTGCATCTGTGGGATCTAGTTTCTAAGAGCACCCATGACAGTAGTTACCTCTTTGACATTCTGCAAGGTTTCAGGGGTGATAGTGAAGTCCACGGGGGTTGGAGTCAATTTCCCCTTCTGAGGCTGAAATGGGAAAGAAGACCAAAATCAGCTGGTGCAAGGCCAAGAACTCTGCAGGTCACACTCCTCTTTCTCCCTTGAAAAAACAAAACGCACCAGTAGGCAGGATACTTGGCTGCCTGTCCCTTCTGCCAAAAACCAATGGTGTGCCCTTTTGCCAAGTTTTCTCATTCCCCGTGACTGTTTCCTCTTGTGCAAAACAAGAGGCTAGATGTCTTTGTCCCTAAGGGCCCTTTCAGGTCTGGAATTTGAAGATCAGACCCAAGAAACAAAACAGCATCATTTGAGGAAAAAGTTATTTTCTGCTTCTCTCTTTGGAGAAGAGCTAAGACTTGTGTGTCCACCTTGTGTCCTAGTACAATGACCCTATGGGGCACTATGACCAGCAAAAGCCCCACTTCACAGATGAAGACGGCCAGGCAGAGAGAGGTGAAAGGATGTGGCAGGGCTGGGATTCAATATCAGATGTGGCCGGCCTCCCATGCTTGTGCTGTTAGCCACCGAGCTATATAACTGCCTACCTATAACATTTTAGTCAAGTCTTATCATCAATAATTAGTGTTGATCATACCCAAATTGGCACCATTTGGGTATGTACTGGACTACAAATGCAAGGTTAGTGGTTCAAATCTACCAGCCACTCCTTGGGAGAAAGGTGAGCCTGTCATTCCTGTAACAATTTACAGCCTTGGAAACCCAAAGGTTCTATCCTGTCCAACAGGGTTGCTATGATATGGAAATGATTCAACAGCATTGAGTTTGGTTTGCATTTAATTCCTAATTTATATAACTGCAGAATACATCTTTACAGCAAAGTTTCATTAGCTCCTGCCAAGCATCTTCTATTCAGGGGCAGGACCCCCAAAAGCCCACCGAAACCCATGACCACTGAGCTATACAGAGGGGGATGGGTGCTGATCAATTTGCTAAGTTTACTACTTTTTCCAACACTGGTTTTAAGGAAGATGCATCCTAGATGCAGTCTTCTCAGCTGCATTTGCCAGAAGCAACCTTGTGGGATGAGGTGATATCCTTCCGGGGCAAAGAGGAGGCTTGCTTCCTACTCACTAAAAATGTGGCTGCAAAATAATCAAATGACAGGTGCACTGTCCTCCTGGGCTCCCGGCACCACCCAAGTGGGACACCAGGCCTGAGAACAATGCGTGGGCCAATGCTTGGGCTGCCTGTGGTGAGTGGGAAACAAAGTCCTTTAACTCTGACCTGGGAGCCTCGTGGCTTCTACCATGAGGCTGACTTAATAGCTTTAAGTAGCGTGCCAGATGCCATGGAGGATTCCTACTACTCAGCCCCAGATCCCCAAGCAGAGCTTACGGCAGAGTGAACGATGAATTCACAGGTCTTGGTTAAGTCCTTGGTCAGCAGAGACCGCCTCATGTCACAGCGCAGTGTATACTGGAGGGAGGGGTGAAGAAGAAAATGTCATTCCAGTGCATTTGCTCTCACCTTAGAACTAGAGCAAAAAAAGAAAAGTAATTCAAAATAGCTTAGAGAAACTGTGTCCAGCTTATGTATTCTATAGAAGAAATAGAAATGCCTGCTGTTGGATCAGCTGCTATCCAGGGCACCAAACTCATAGTGACCCCAGGCCAACTGGACTGTACCATCGGGAGCATGCAGGATTGCCATCGGCTGACTTGTGGAAGTAGACACTTTCACCAGCACTTTCTTCCTAGTCCGTCGTAGTCTGACACCTGCTTACCATCACACCAAAAAACGAACCTCCACTGACTAACAGGTGGTGGCTGTGCCCAACGCACAGCAGCTAGGAATTGAGTCCAGGTCTCCTGCATGGAACACAAGAATTCTATCATGTAGCCACCCTTGCTCTTTTACATAGAGGAGGAGCCCTGGTGTCGTAGTGGTTACGTGTTGGTCTCTGATCCACAAGATCAGCAGTTGTATGGGAGAAAGATGGGGTTTTCTATTCCCATAAACAGGTACAGTCGTAAACTCACGGGAGGGAGGGGGGGAAAGAGGAGCTGATACCCAGGGCTCAAGGAGAAAGAAAATATTTTGAAAATAATGATGGCAACATATGTGCTTCATACAGTTGATGTATGGATTGTTGTAAGAGCTGTAAGAGCCCCCAATAAAATGCTTTATTAAAAAAAGAAAGGAAGAAAGAAACTCACGGGGAAGTTCAACCCTGGCCTATAAATTAGCAAATGATAAAAGTATTAATCCATGAACTTTTGCAAGTCTCCTTGTTATTTGAATGTCGGTGTATGCTGGTACAATCATTCATTACTAATATTCCTAGGGGCTGTCCAGATCCAAAGCCTTTGGAGTATACGGACTGAAAGAGGTACTGCTAATATTAAAGGACTAAAACCCCACCTTTGTCTTCACAGAAAACGATTTACTGCACTAGAATACATCCTACTGGATTATGGCACTCTTCAGGGCAGAGTTCTCGAGCAGTTCATAAAACACACACAGACAAGCTTTGGCTGAATGGCATTAAGTGTTTTGGAGATTCTTATTTTAGAGGTGCCATATGTAGGCACCAATGCCATGTTATTGACAAAAAATTAATTAATTTCATCTTCCAAACGCTTAACTTTCAGCTCTTTGAACATGTGCAAGACAAAACAGTTCTGTCTCGTCCAGCAGGGGAACTGATGCCCAACGGATGTCACAAAAGTACCTTTCTTTCCTCTGGATAAAGGAAAGGCTCTTTCTCTCACTCTGAGTCATGCCTCCTGAGACAACAATAGCAGCTGTGAAAGACACCCTTAACTAGCAAAGTTGACAGGAAGTCATAAATTCACTTCCTCTCATTTACAAGGTTTGTTCAATAAAGAATGCACGCCTATGTTAAATGTGTAGCCTTTGGGCATTAAACAAGGAGATGCTTATAAGTATGAAATAGACAAGACAGTCAGTGCTGGAGCCAGAAAGAAGCTGGGGCATATCTATTACTAAACAGTAAGAGCACCCCTGCCACTGTCAACTTGGCTTGTACAAAGAGCCCAAGGAAACAAAAGAATGTTTAAAGCTATAGCATGGCTCCTCTAAGATTCCTATTAAAAAAAAATAATGGCGACATAGGAAATGTATTGTGGCACAAACACTTAAGGCTTCAGGTATCAGCCCAATGGCTGGTAGTTCGAATCTACCCAGCGGTGCGGCAGAGAAAGGCCTGGTGATTTACTTCTGAAATATCAGCCAGTGAAAACCCACGGAGCCCCATTCTACTCTGACATGCTGAGAAGCAGAATGATACTCAGGAATTAACTGTGTGTAACGACTAGCCTAGTTTTTTGTGAAATGCATCCAGCGGGGAAAAGTGAGAAAATATTAGCGAGTATGTGAGTGAGTACAAGAGAGCTCCATAACACAAGGGGTTTTCCAAACGTTTCCAAAGACAAAGCGTCCCCCCCCCCCCTGCACTTTTTGCTGTTCCCTTGTACAGTATTAAGGAGCCCTGGTGGTCTAGTGATTACATGTTGGTCTGTGATCCACTAGGTCCACAGTTTGAAACCACCAGCTGCTCCTTTGGGAGAAAGACAGGGCTTTCTAGTCCCATAAAGAGTCCAAGTCTTGGGAACCCTCAGAGGCACTTCCAACCTATCCTATAGAGTCACTAAAAGTCAGTATCGACTCAGTGGCAGTGAGTTTGTTTTGAGTTTTGGCATAGTATTAAATTCTTAGGTCCCTCTATGGATTCTCAATGAAAAGACCAAGATATGCTTCAGAGGTGAAACAAGGAAGCCAACTACTTGGGACTAGCAAGTGCTCACCTGGATGTTGACAAACACACCATGGTAGGTCTCATACAGAACTTTATTACCCTTCACGTGGAGTGGAAATTCAAAAGGAATTTCTGTCTTGCCACTGGGGAATTTTCCTGGCTTCACCATTTCTATGGTGCTGGTGATAATCTGGATAGGCTGTAAATGAAAATCAAATAGTCCATCAACATGCACATTTAGAGGTACTTTCAAATGGTAGTGTCTATTAACAATCTCCTTAAAGATAAAACACAAAAACCTCTCACATACTACCACCTTGTGTGTTGGGCTACATAGTGTTGGGTGTGCTGACGAACAAAGTGTATGTCCATTTTCTATGTCTCTGGAAAAATGATGGTTCTTTACAGCATGGACACTTAGGTGCCTGGCCACAAACAGTAAGAACTGGATCAATATTTCCCTCTCGCCTCACCAAGTATCTCATTTAACTGTCACAATAATTCTCCAAGGCAGGTGTGGTGGTTAATTTTCTGTGTCCACTTGGCTAGGCTAGGGTACCTACTTAAATCTGATTCAGTACTCGTCTAGATGTTGTTAAAAGTATATACTTGTAACTAACGAGGTGACTAACCAGGTAACTAACCACGTGACCCTAAGGAGAGTAGCGATACCAGGAGAGTAAGGGCAAGATAGGATAGAAAGGGGGAACCTATCTCAAGGATCTACATTTAACCTCCTCCCTGGAGGACGGACAACAGAAACGTCAGTGAAGGGAGACGTCAGACAGTGTAAGACATGACAAAATAATACTTTATAAATTATCATGGGTTCATGAGGGAGGGGGGCAGGGAGGGAGGGGAAAAATGAGGAGCTGATACCAAAGGCTCAAGTAGAAAGCAAATGTTTTGAGAATGATGATGGCAATAAATGTACAAATGTGCTTGACCCAATGGATGTACGTATGGATTGTGAAAAGAGTTGTACGAGCCCCAAATAAAATGATTTAAAAAAAGAAAAAAAAAGTCACTTAAAAAATCAGGAAAAAAAAGCAAGCTGTGTTCTCTTACTGGGCTGAACCTTCATTATTAAAAGCATGACCACCATCATCTCTCACAGAATAATGAGTTATTACAATGAAGACAGACAGTACATGAAAGCCACCATTAAAAACAAACAAGTCGAACTCCGCGCCATCAAGTCAATTCCAACTCAACGAGACCCTCAAGAGACCACTATAGACATCTGAATATGGGCCGTACCACATGGAATTGAAGCATTCTTACCTTGACAGAGTTATAAAACGCTTCAAACACACCCACACTTTTGGCACTGAGCTGGAGGTTTACAGACCCTTCCATCGTCAAAGAAACTCCTTGGTGTTGGACGGAATCCTTACTAGTGATGACCACCACGCCAGAGAGCAGCTCCTATGGGAGAGAAGACGATCACCAGGGAAGTGAACACACCACTTTCACTCACCTTGTTTACCACACCAGGGTGCTACAACCCATTTTTTCAAATACTCATTCACTGAGTACTCACTGGCAGTTCTTATGGGACTGTGGTAGTTACATAAAGTGGTGTCAATTTGAGGATTCAGAGTGAAGGGGTGGAGTCTAGGCTGTTAATCAGGTAGTAGCTTGATGACCTCATTTGGAGGAACTAAGGAGATATGTAGCTCACTGAAGGTGGGGTACATGCTCACTCCCTGAGGAGAAGCCACATGAAGCTACCCTGAGGCAGAGTTTCGGAGAAGAACCCTGTCAGCACTGAGATGCTTATAACACCACTGGATCCACAAGACTTCCAACTCACTGGCCTATGATCTTCCTGCATTTGGCGTCACTGCATGTGTTTCCTGAGTCTGAAGAGGACTTTATAGATTGGTATCGGACATATGGTCTAATATCAGACTTATGGACTTGATCTGGACTGGGCTGGTTTCTCAATGTTCAATGGCTTCTGTATATAAACCCCTTTCTTACACAAGTATAAGTCTTCCTGGATTTGTTTCTCTAGTGTACCCAGACTAACACATTATGGTACCAGGAGACTCCAGCATCCAAGATGGAGAAGGCGCAACTCCCTGGGAGCTGGAGACCCATGGGCAATCACCACGGGGGCAGTGTATGCTGTGTATGCACACAGGGAAGGAAGTGCCCCAGAGGAGGGAGCGAGGAACCTCACTCTACCTGCCTAACATCTCTTCCTTCACAGGCTAGGGGAATGCTTCCGACACTGATTTTTCAAAGGCAAAGACAAGTGTCTGGGGCTAATGGAGGTTCCTGGCTAGCTCACAAATGCTCACAGAGAATTCTTGCTTCAGATGGGACACAACACAGTAGCACTCTTGCCTTTGGGTCCTTCCTCGATTATGCTGACTGCAATGACAACCCAAATGCCTGCATAGTCTACCAAACTGGCCTAGTATCCAGCTGCCCAGAAACCCCCAAGAGCCAGAGGTTACTATCACTACAATACATATAGGCAACGCTCCCCTTTCCCGCAAGACCTTCCCAGATCCTCATGTTCCAGGTCACTTCAGCCTACGGTTCCTGGTTCATAAATCACTTAGGAAAGGCTTTACAATAAGTCTTCTATTCGTTTATCTGGAGATAATGACTGAGTAATAGAATATGCACACTAACTACATTCTTTACTGCACAGCCGTTCCTTCTGGTCCACAGAGAACATGACAGTTTGAATTTGTTATGGGGATTTGAGTGGAAAAAGATACTGAGAAGATTAAATAGCATTGACTAAAGCATAAAGCAAATCAGCAATAAATACAAAAGACTGTGTTTCTGACATAAACTTCAGGTATATAGCACAACTATTATCAAAAGAAATATGATGGCCGAAAACTGTTGACAATTCAACAAAACTAAACCCAAACCACCAACAACAATGGCTTGCAAATCAAAATATTAAAAAAAAAAAAGATCTGCCCTACTACTTTCTAAAACTGCTTACCGTGTATAGTTGAGCATAAGCCGACCCGAGTATCAACCAACCCACCTAATTTTACCACAAAAACTGCATTAAAAATGTGCTGAAAAACTGGGCTTATACACGAGTATACGGCACTTCCTCTCATCATTCAGTGAAATAATGGTCACCAAGTTCTTACATTATGCAGAATTTCAGAGCAGAAATTGTCCACATCTCTAAATGTCCCTCTCTGGGGAGGGCAAAAGGTTAATGTACTTGGCTCAAGTCTACGCAGAGGTCCTCCTACCCACCTTTACTGCCATTGAGTCGATGCTGACTCATAGTCACCCTTTAGGACAGGTAGAAAACTACCCCAAGACTGTCACTTTTAACTCTATATGGGTATAGAAAGCCTCATTTTTCTCTTGAGGAACAGCTGGTGACCCTGAGGTTAGAAGCCCAACAAGTTGCCCACTAAACCATCAGAGATGCTCAGAGGAAAAGTCTGAGAATTTATTTCCAAACAATCCAGGGTCATAGATCTACTCACACGCACACAGGGTCGCTGTGAGCCAGTCACCTCGACAGCAACTGGTTTTCAAAAATGTGCAAACCATTTGCTTTTTTTCCTTTTCTCAAAGCTCAGATGTCTACATTAAAATATACACTATTATCTCCATTCTAAGCAGAATCTGAAGAGTAGAACTCATTTTGCTTTAGCGAAGCTTCTTAATACATAAAGCTCATAAACAGATTTAAATGAAAATCCTTCTGAGATAATTTATATTTGTATACAATCTAAATAAAATTGAAATTCAATTTTGAAACATTTACATGCACTAATATATTTTAAAAGATATACTTGACTAAAATTTCCCAAAGATAAAATGTGACCAAATAATTTTATGAATCTTATCTACTGAGCAAGTGTTTGTGGGTGGCTTGGTTCCTGTTTAACTATAACCACTTTGATTAACTTCAAGTGCCCAGGATCTATGTTGATCACCAACTGGCATGTTATCATCACAGCATTAGTAGAGACTCTGCAGTGAAGAAAATGCAGTGAAGAACCTTGGAAGTAAAAAGAGTAAATATCTCATGAGCCAGGGCTTGTTTTTGTCATTTTTAAATTTTAATTAAACAATATAGTAAAGAAAATACAAAATTAATTTAAAAATTATAGACAAATTACACACATGGATATATATATAAATATGGCAGAAAACTACTGACCGTTCCATTCATTTTGTCTCTCAGGAGGAACCAATCCCTGGAGAAAGACATCATACTTAGTAGAGTAGGTGTCAACAAAAACAGGAAGGTTCACAACGAGATGGACTGACACAGTGGCTCTGACATGGGCTTAAGCATAGGAAGGAGGGTGAGGATGATGCAGGAGAGAGCAGTGTTGAGGGTTTTGTCCTATGATACATGGGGTTACTGGAGAATCAGTCCAAGAAGTCAAAGATTTGAGAAATAGAGGTGACTTAATAAACAGTGAAGACCACGAGCAGTGAGAAAACAATGGTTCTTTTTGGAAAAGGAAGACAAAAAAAAGTTGAGTAACAGGAATTAAAAAACGGAAACTACAGACCTGGCTAGAAACTTCCCCCTCAGATTTTTGTATTGAATCTCAACAAGGAGCAAACTAGGCTTCTGATTCTAAATGTTGCCTATCTCAACCCTCCACTCACTAGGGTAGTAAAAAGGATTGTTATTTGGAAATCATGACTAAAGAGGGGCTTCAGGATGACAACAGATTCAGGAATGATCTACAAAAATCACAGGCATGTGAGCTATTGTTTTAGGAACAAGACCACAGTGCTTCTTTCTCAGTGAGAAGAATCCTATCATCAAGGAGGCCCAGGACTTTAAAAAGATTAAGACAGGGTCTGAAGCTCCGAGAAAGTACAAAGGACAGAGTCTGGGGCCAGAGCGTGGTACCCCATCGGACCTGATTGAAGGACAGGCCTAGAGATAAAAAAATCAGACCTTGATCTATTTACAGGTTTTTCTGTTTAAAATTTTTTTCTTTTAATTAATTTATTCTTTTATGGGTCATTGGTCTTCCTTTTTGTTGACATTGCATGTTCTCATTCGTCGTTTATCTTGCTATGGCTTGGTTTTTGATGTATATTATTATCTCCACAGATCTATCTAGATAAGATAGGCTGGAAGAATAGTCTGGGGGAGAAAACAACGGGACCAATGGTTCCAGGGGGACATGGGAGAAGGAGAGGCGGGGGTAAGGAGGTGGTGCTGACCAACCCAGGGACAGGGGAGCAACAAGTGATCCAAAATCAGTGGCAAGGAGGGTGTGAGAGGCCTGGTAGGGATTCAGCAAGGGCAATGTAATCAAGAGAAATTACTGAAACCCTAATGAAGGGTGAGCGTGATAGTGGGACAAGAGGTAAGTAAAAGGAAATAGAGGAAAGAACTAGACGACAAAGGGTATTTATAGAGGTTTTAAAACTGGACTGTACATATGTAAATATATTTATATAAGAGTGTGGGGAAACAGATCTACATGCGTATATTTATAGGTTTAGTATTAAGGCAGCAGATGGACATTGGGCCTCCACTCAAGCACTTACGTCAATGCAAGAACACGTTGTTCTATTAAATTGGCATTCCAGGATGCACACCTTCCCGACATGATTGCTGAAGAAAAATGTGAACATAAGCAAAGGTGGTGAAGAAAGCTGATGGTGCCCGGCTATCAAAAGATACAGCATCTCAGGGTCTTAAAGGCTTGAAGACAAACAAGCGGCCATCTAGCTGAGAAGCATCAAAGCCCACATGGAAGAAGCACATCAGCCTGTCTGACCACGAGGTGTAGAAGGGACCAGTACAGTTATCAGACATCAAAGAACTAAAAATCTTCAGTGGGTGCCCACCTTCCTGATATGATCACTGAAGACAAACATGTGCATAAGCAAATGTGGTGATGAAAGCTGATGGTGCCCAGCTATCAAAAGATATAGCGTCTGGGGTCTTAAAGGCTTGAAGATAAACAAGCGGCCAACTAGCTCAGAAGCAACAAAGCCCACATGGAAGCACACCAGCCTGTGTGACCACAAGCTGTCGAAGGGATCAGGTATCAAGCATCAAAGAACAAAAAATCATATCATTGTAAAGGTGGGTGAGTGCAGAGTGGAGACTCAAAGCCCATCGGTAGGCAACAGGACACCCCCTTATTGAAGGGTTGTGGGGAAGAGATGAGCCAGTCAGGGTACAGTGTAGCAACGATGAAACATATAACTTTCCTGTAGTTCTTAAATGCTTCCTCCCCCTCACTATCATGATCCCAATTTTACCTTACAAATCTGGCTAGACCAGAGGATGTTCATTGGTACAGATAGTAACTGGAAACACAGGGAATCCAGGACAGATGAGTCCTTCAGGACCAGTGGTGAGAATGGCGATGCCTGGAGGGTGGAGGCAATGTGGGGTAGAAAGGGGGAACCGATTACAAGAATCTACGTATAGCCTCCGC